AATGGCAGCACCCCCTGCAGTGGCTCCGTGGAGGTCCATTACTTTGGGCAGTGGATACCAGTCTGCCAGGAAATGTGGGACATGGAAGCCTCCCACGTGGTCTGCAGACAGCTGCATTGTGGGGAGGCAAAGGAAGCAGTAGCCACCCCCACCCCCAGCCTTGTGTGCCCACCCAGGTCAGCGCGCATAAAGGAAACCACCCCATCTTCTCAGAGCCTCTGCCCGTCCCTGCACATCCGCTGCACGGGGCTGGAGAGCACCTGGGAGCAGTGCAACATGTCACTTGCAGAGCAATGCTGCGGTGGGAGGCCGGCCAGCGTCACCTGCACAGGTAAGAAACATCCATCTCGTGTCCTGTAGAGCCTGGGTTAGCCCTCAACAGCTCCAGATGGGAATTCATCCATGCGGGCAGGTGGTTCTCCTCCACTGCTGCTGCTCTAGCCCCATCAGCCATCCAGGGTGAGGCCAGCCCAGCTCTGTCCCTGCCCATTGGCCAAACCTCAGCCCTCCTAGCTGCCTGTTTCTGGCCCATGCGGCAGCCTTGTCCCTCCCCACATTGCAGGTTAAAAGCAATCAGGGGCCCAGCAGGCCCCTTCTGCCTGTGAGTGCCATCACAGTATCTCGGGGTGAGTGCCCCTGCATGCTACGCCCCTGATAAATTGTTAAATGACAGATGGAGCGGAGACCAGATCCACCTACCCGCCCACCAAGAGCAGCTCCATGTATCCATCCACACAGCCACTGAGAACAGCACCATCCATCCATCCATTGAGGCCATATCCCTCCACCCATTCTCTGAAACCAGCTCCATGGAGCCAACATCTCCATCCGTCCACCCCTCCATCCCCATACTTAACCCACCATCATCTAGCCCTTGAAAGCAGAGCCATAGAGCCATCCATTGAGGCCAGCTCTATCGATCCCTCCCTCCCCATACTCCCCTTTTCATCCATCCGTCCAGCCTCTCCCTCCCTCTCTGCCATTTGCAGAGCCTCTCTGAGCTGGGCTCCCCTCACTGTCGCCCTCTCTGCCAGGTTCCCACTCCGTGCGCCTAGTTGGCGGGGACAGCTGCTGTGAGGGCCTGGTGGAGGTCGAGGAGGCTGGTGACTGGGGCACAGTGTGCGATGATGCCTGGGACCTGGATGACGCCAGCGTGGTGTGTCAGCAGCTGAGGTGTGGCTGGGCCGTTGAGGCGACAGTGGCCTCCTCCTTCCAGAAAGGGACAGGCCCCATCCACCTGGACGAGGTGGGCTGTGCAGGGAATGAAGCCCACCTGTGGGACTGTCCAGCCAACAGGACCCATGACTGCGGCCATAAGGAAGATGCTGGTGTGGTGTGCTCAGGTCTGTTCCTCTATCCCAAAGAGTACATGTGTCCTCCTGTCTGGTGGAGCACTCCACACCTGTCTCTCTGGTGAAGCATTCGTCTCCTTCTCTGCCCAGTGGGGGATTTCTGTCTGTCTGACAGAGAGCCTCTGTCTAACCACCTGCTCATCTGAAGGAATGCTCTGTCTGTGCAGCCATTGGAGTGCTCCTGTCTGTCTGTCTGTCCATTGGAGAGCTCCTGTCTGTCTTGTCTGTCCATTGGAGAGCTCTTGTCCATCTGTCTGTGCATCCATTGGAGCACTCCTCTCTGTGCATCCATTGGAAAGCGCCTGTCTGTCTGTGCATCCACTTGGAGAGTGCCTGTCTGTCTGTTTGAGTACTCCTGTGTGCCTGTCCATCTCATGGAGTCCATCCTGTCTGTCTTTCCACTGGAGCACTCCTGGATGTCCATCTGTTTTGGTGGATTGTTCCTGTCTGGGATGGGCAGTGACATTATTCTTGGAGAAGGGGTAAATCTCTCCTGACTCCAGCAGACAACAGGTGCAGCGGAGCCCAAATGCTTCCAGCACAGACTGCCCCTTACTGTGGGGATCCCGAGGTTGGTCCCTCTTTGCTGACTCCCCCCCTCACATTCCTACACAGAGCACCAGAAGTGGCGCCTGTCGGGCAGCTGTGCTGGCCGCGTAGAAGCCTTTTACCAGGGTGTGTGGAACACAGTGTGTGACGGGACCTGGTACAAGGAGGAGATGGACGTGCTGTGCCAGTGGCTGGGATGCGGCCCCTCTTTGGACAAACTGAGCTTCAATCACACACACCATGGCAGGATGAACTACCAGTGCAAGGGGGGCGAGGCCTCGCTCTCCTGGTGCCGATGGCACTACAACAACTTGAACCTGTGCCACCAGTCCCAGGCCGCCGGCGTGGTCTGCAATGGTAACTCTGCCTTGTCACACACCAAGCCCAAGCGGAGCCACGTGAAACGGGGGAGAAGAAGGCAGACATGGGGGCGACTGACGGGGGCAAAGGAGGCGGATGTGCAAGCGGATCCAAGGGACATTGGGCAAGGCCAGAGGAGAGGGGAGGGAAGGAGGCGGACATGGGGGACAATCCAGGGGATGTGTGAGGTGGCAGGAGAGGAGAGCAGAGGAGAGGGTTCGGAGCGGGGGAGGGTCTGTTCCTCCAGCCCTGCTAACTTCCCTTCTCCCTCTCTGTGGCGTCCCTAGGCTCACTGGGCTTGCTGAACATGTCAGACGTGCCCTCCATGGGGATGACGACTCCAGCCAACACCCAGGACGGGAAAGGTGAGTGTCTGGAGGGGGGGAGGGGAGGTGACCCTTCTCTTCCTCCCGTGGTGCCAGTCTCGGGGGAGGGAGCCGGACCAGAGGCAGATCCTTCCCTCCTGGGGTGGGAGGGGAAGTTTGCCAGCCCTGCCCCTGGACAAACCTCTCCAGTATCACTGCACCGAGGGCATGTCCCCTCTGGCAGCCCCATTCCCCAGGGGGTGGCCAAAGAGGGCCACTTCCCCTCAGCAGGCTTGCCCCAAGAGCTAGGGCATTGGTATGGAGCACCGGTGCAGCTGATGTCAGTGCGCCCCTACCCAGCGCCCCTGTTCCAGGCAGAGGCCCACGCTGCATGCACTTGCAGGCTGCATGCACAAACGCCCCTCCCTGCCATGGCACAGGCAGCAGGATCGGGGCCGCAAGGAGAGCTCCAGGGACCCAGCCCTGTCAGCCTTCCTGTGGTCTCCCCCATGTCAAATTTATGAGTCGGCCCTAGAAAGTGCCCAAGTAGGGGGCCTACACGGTGCTGGGAACTCCCTGACACCCAGAGGGATGGGGCCCCGTGCCAGGCCCTAGTGACAGATCCCCGGTGTCTTTTGCCTCTCTAACTTGTTCTGTCTGTCTGTCTGTCCTGCCCTGTCCTCCCTCTCCTCCCCTCCACCCGCCCCACTGCCAGGCACTGCTAGACCACTATGCTGGGAAGCCACATTCCTCTCGAACCAGACTCTCCTTCTCCTCTGTGTGGTCCTGGGCTTTCTCCTCTTGGTCGCCGTGCTGGCCTTCACCACCGTTCTCCTGAGGATGAGGAAGCAACACGGTAGCTTTGCGGCTCGGGGCTTTGCCAGAGCGAGATGGGGCACTTGGGTGCCAGGCAGAGGGGGGCTAGGTCTGCTGGGAAAAGCCATCACACAGACCTTTCTGCAGAGGGGGTGACATCGCAGGAGCTGCAGCAGGGCCAAAGCTGGGGTCGGGCAGGGAGAAGGGGGGGAGCATGGGCAGCACCCAGCTGTGGGGTGACATGGAACAGGGCCCAGTCCCCTGCTGGCGTCATCGCTGGGGGGACTCGGGATTGCTTTGCCGTGGCTGCAGAGCTCTTTCCCCGAGAAATGGCAGCCGCCAGCATGTCAGGGGAGCCTTCCCAGCACCAGAGCCCAGGGCGAGATGGGATCCGGGGAGCATTCAGAACAAGTGGGAAGCCCCTCCCCAGTGTGAGGTCTCCTGCCGGGGCTGCGCCAGGCCCTGTATGGCCTCCCAGAGCAGCCCACCTCCTTTCTCCCCCGTCTTTGCAGCTCACACCGTGTCCTCGTCCTCGTCAGCCGCCCCAGTCCTGATGAATCACAGCGCACAGGGCCCGGAGACGGCCGTGGGGAGCTCCAATGACTACAGGAAAGTCCCCTCCCATCCCCCCAAGGCAGAAGGTAGCTACTGTTTCTCAGCCTGCCCCACTGCCCCTCCCGCAAACCCAATATCTTTGCCTCCCCCCACATCCTCTTCCCCCACTGCCTCTCCCTGCTTCTCAGCTCTCTGAGTAACCAATCTTCTCCGCCCCCACAGCCTCCCACATTCTGCCCCTCACCCCCCACCTCTCTGCCCTTCCCCCACTTTCTCCTGCCCCGCACCCCACCTCTCTGTCCCTCCTCCACCTTCCCCTCCCCTGCACCCTGACTCTCTGCCCCTCCTCCACCTTCTCCCCCGCACCCTAGCTTTCTGTGCCTCCTCCATCTTCCCCTCCCCTGCACCCTAACTCTCTGCCCCTCCTCCACCCCCTCTCCCCCGCACCCTAACTCTCTGCCCCTCCTCCACCTTCTCCCCCGCACCCTAGCTTTCTGTGCCTCCTCCATCTTCCCCTCCCCTGCACCCTAACTCTCTGCCCCTCCTCCACCTTCTCCCCCGCACCCTAGCTTTCTGTGCCTCCTCCATCTTCCCCTCCCCTGCACCCTAACTCTCTGCCCCTCCTCCACCTTCTCCCCCGCACCCTAACTCTCTGTGCCTCCTCACCTTCCCCTCTCCTCACAGCCCTTCCCACACACTATGACCCCCCCTTCTCTACCTTTCTCTCCCCACACCTTCCCTGCCCGCACTGCCTCTTCTCCACAACCTGCCATTTAACCTATCCTGACCCCTCCCCTACATCCCACCTCTCAGCCCTTCCTGGACACTGGCTTCCACCCTGGCTGAGTATCTGGCCAGAGGCCCCTGGTCCTTGTTCCATGGGTGGTTGCTAGTGAGCCAGGAGAGCCAGCTGCTTACATGGCTCCAGCTCCACCCCAGCCACATTCCCGTCTGCTCCATTTCCGCCACTGGCACTGCAGGGCCCCCTGAGCTGCATGGCCCCCGTGGGATCTGGGCATAGCAAGCCCTGGTCCAGGCTCCCTGGTAACCGCTCCCTCCGTGTCCCCCTCGCAGAGCCGCCGGCCGTGCCCGCTCCTGGCTCCGAGGACTCCGATTCCGACTACGAACACTATGATTTCAGCAGCAAGCCGCCTGTGGCGCTTTCCACCTTCTACAGTGAGCAGCCCTGCATCACACGGGCGCCTCGCAGCCCGGGGGCTCTGCCTCCCCTTGGGCCTGGCCTCCCTCACGCTGCCCTGTGCCAGCCTGGGCTGCCCAAACACACACACAGCTCTGCCCATGCCCCTCCATTCCACCCCACCGCCACTGCTGTCTTCGCCCTGAGCCCCCTCCCCTCAACTCTGCTAAAGCGCCTCCATCCCCACCCACAGCCACTGCTGGCCCAGCCCTGGGCCCCCTCCCCACAGCTTCACCAGAGCCCCTCATTCCTGACCAAGAGGGGTTGAGGAGAGGGGTGTATGGGGCCTGAGATCAGATGGTTTGGGACGACAGGAGCCACAGGGGTTGGTTGGGGGTCACAGTGCTTGGAAGGAGGGATCACAGGCATTGGTTGGTACCAGGGGGATCCGGGAGTCAGGGGTACAGGTTGCCTGAAGGCAGAGGGATCTGGGGGAATCAGTGAGCGTAGGGATTGGTTGGGATCAGGGGGTGGCTGGGCTCAGGGGGATCCAGGGCTCAGGGGGTACAGGGATTGGTTGGGCTCAGGGGATCCAGGACTCATGGGGTACAGGGATTTGTTGGGTGCAGGGGAGGGTCCAGGGCTCAGGGGGCACAGGGATTGGTTGGGATCAGGGGAGGGTCCAGGGCTCAGGGGGCACAGGGATTGGTTGGGCTCAGGGAGGATGCAGGGCTCAGGGGGTATGGGATTGGTTGGGCTCAGGGAGGATCCAGGGCTCAGGGTGTGCAAGGATTGGTTGGGATCAGGGGAGGATCCAGGGCTCAGAGGCTACAGGGATTGGTTGGGCTTGGGGAGGATCCAGGGCTTGGTTGGGCTCAGGTGGGATCCAGGAGTCAGGGGCCGCAGGTTGCCTGGGGCCAAGGGGAGCGGGAGGGGCCAGGTCTGGGAGCAGTGTTAGTGAGGATCTCCCAGCTCACCCTTTGGCCTCTGGTTGCAGATTCGCTTCGGCACCGGCCAGCGGACGAGACCCTCCCCGCAAGCGGCTTCCCCCCAGCACCTAGCCAGGAGATGCTGAGCGAGGCCCCAGAGCCCTGGGGCCTGGCGGAGCAAAGGCCCCACGAGGGTGAGCTGGTGATGCTGACGGGGGGTGATGGAGACGGGCAGCACAGAACCAGAAAAGGGGCCTCAGAACCCCAGCTGGAGCAGGCAGGGGCGATGTTAGAGCTGGGGCCTCTTGGCTTGGCTGCCCTCAGAGCTGGTCTGTCTACCCCAGGGGTGCACAGGGAGGGGCGCAGTTCATGCTGGGGGTGAAGCAGGCAGGCGGGGCTGTAAACCCACCCTCCATGTCGCTCTGTGTCCCCCGGGGAGGGACGGACTGGGGCACTGCCTGCTTGGGAAGGCTTGTGCTCATGGAGCCACTGGCTGCCTCTCTTGCAGGGTCCCCGGCCGAGTTCAGCTCCTCCTCCGAGAACACCTATTACAACAGCAGCACCACCAGGCAGCCAGAGTGGAGCAACTCAGCCCCTCCTCCAGCTGGAAACCTCTTAGCACCACCCCCTCCTGCCCTGGGCAACAGTGGCTCCCAGCTCTCCTTCCATGCTCA